AATACTGTCAGTATCCACTTGGGGTGATGTTTGTGTATTTACTTTGCTTGCTTGCAATAAGTAATGATAAAGTGTAAATTATCTCTGCTGCAAACAATGAGTTCAAAGTGGCACTCAGCAAACGAACCATATTGGTTAGGCAATAAATCACTGCTGATATTGTAGGGGCCTGTAAACTTGTAACTCAATAAATACCTCGTTCCAATTTTTCGAATGGAGATAAAGCGCCTCGTGTTCTAGACGCAGATATGAGTAAGTCTCTTCTAACTACTGCCACAGTTGGTGGAAGAAAACGTTGGACATACTGCGAGCAAGATGAAAACCGTCATCACGATCAAGCACATTTGTCAACTTTGATGGTGGCAGGGATTCTGCATAGATCAAAATTTATAGAATAATTAAGTAATTTCTTCATGCTGTCTCCGTTTCCAACAGCTGACAAAGTTGAATTGAACTTTATTGCATTGTATATGTAATTAGCTAACCTGGAACCCCCATACTTGCAATGACATGCGAACACCATTGGCTCATGTGTCCCGAGACATCACCGCCTGAAAAGTATCAGCCAGGTTCATTGATCTGTTTTTCCGTTGTATGATTGTACCCTACGTACTGTTGAACTATTCCAGCAAATTTTCAAAGCTACTTTAGTCAAATTAATTGTCGTACTAAAAGCGATATCGTAAGTACAGCAGGGCCATAATTTGCGTGCAGTGGTTTCACTTACATTTTTGATCGCACTAGATTCAAACTGGGTTTGAGAAAAAACTATTAACATAACACACACAGTGGTTATAACCATACGCTTTGTTCAAGATCACAAGAATGGTTTACGTGGCGTTTGGTCTCATGTGTCAAGTCAAAATCACATCAAGATTTCCATAATGCGTAATCTGGGTATGTGGGATTTCTCAATGACAAACAACTTATGGCCACCTCCACCGATAGTGAACCACTTGTCTGCGGATGTCCATGATGGTACTGTTATCTTTACCAATATTGTCACCGCATCTGAATCACGGAGAGAATATTGCGAGGTTGGCGATTTAGCTGCTTCTCAGATCGAAGTTCGGCTTAGGAAGAAAGGCGACAGCTTACTCCTAATCCTCGTGTGACGTCCCTGGCAAAACCCACTGAGCTCTATACGCGAAAGGCTACAAGGGAATTAGCATGAGCGTGATCCACATATGACAAATTCTGGCTTCCCGAAAATCACTAAATGAATTTGCATTAATATTACGCGTGATGGTGTAACCTTACGTGATTGGTGGTGTGGATTTGCCTTAGCACACATGTAAGAACTTTAATGGCTGCAGACGGGCGTGAAGAGGAGCCTGAGTAGAATCAGGCTGTCGTCAATTTGGCGCAGGGATGGACTCATAACTTTTACACGGCAAAACACAACACATTAACTAAGCCTTGCAATTGCAAACTTCTCATGTATAACTCTGGAATATCTCCTAAGGTCCGACATGGCTAAAAACAGCACCATTAGCACACTATTCAGCCTTAGCGTGTTTGCAGGAATTCAATTGTCCTGTATCATGTAATGTCCAAACTCAAGCTGGCATTGGTTCCTTACTCGCACCTTATGATTGACTTAGTATTAAATGTGAAATACTTGATGATAGCAGGCAACAAACTAGTCTAAAAACCACAATTCAATGGGGAAAGCTTGTCAATATTCCAAAGTGCAGATTCACTGCTCACTACATCGCATGGACACGAACATGATTCTGTGACTTGATTCCTAGTTCAAGCACTTTACCATAATTACTTCGCATTTATTAGTCAGTGGTGTACAGTTTGCAGAATGTGGAAGTGGTAATTACGAATCAAAGTCGAGATTAACAGAGAATCAAAGATTAGCAAAAGAAGCAGCGTTTTTGCCGAGCATGGCTGCGTCGCCTTCTCATTCTATATTGTCATCTTCCTGCAACTAAAAATAAGAAATTCGTGGGCAAGTTTATAAGAAATGGTATTTTTAAACTGCTAAGAACGGATTGTAACTTCTAACGCTCTTTTGTGGGTACGGCGGCATGCCACGACCCATATTCGGATCAACAGTGCTGTAGAAGCCTGAATAAGTTTCTTTAGGGGCACAAGCCACAAATATTTGCATTAAAAGGTCAAAAGCAACTGCCTTTATCAAACCATTGACAGACGAAACCGCGTGGCAACCGGTCAATGCATAAAATTACTTTCTACAGCAATCGTGAACCTCAAGTGAACACAGCTGACCGACCCTAGATGCGGTTACTAATAAAACCTTCATTAGGCAACGCGCGTCACACGCCGTGACCGCAGAGGCAGCGACAACACAAGGAGCATTTATCTATACGTCTATTTCTTGCACAGCCTCCTTCACATCATTTGCTTCACCGCCCCTCACATCCTCTTTCTCACCAAATGCATGAGCATTCGCACGAGGCTTAGTTTCGGCACAAACCATTAAATATACACGAGCATACCAGCCAATCTAACATATGAATTGTTAACAAAAGACGTATTTTTAATGCACTAATAAACGCAAATTTCAAAAAAACATCTGTGTACCTTGCAATTAGAAAGACTGCTAATTTGACACCAATAGATTTCCAAATGGCAAAATAAACGTCAGTACATTTGCTGACTACTTAAATGCAGCTCCTTTTATCACATTACAACAATTAGTCAAATATAACCTGAGTAATACGACTGATGAGCGTACATTTCGTCATTCAGTGAAAATTCAGTTGATAACTTGCACGGAACCCCAAACTACTGCGTTTGTGTGCATGACATAGGCCTTGTTCTCTGAAAGCTGACAAATCACCATAAAATACTGCATGCGCAAACCGTGATTTGACTTTGAGTGCTTAAATCCATTTAGAGACAGATCAGAACCTAATACAGTAGTTTTCTGCAAATATGCTGAGAAGAAATGCCATTAGTGAGAGACGATCGCATTAGTCAGCTCTGGCATTCTTGGCTACAGCGCTCAGTATGAAAAAGCTAGTCATTGAACATGCACACTTTTTCAAAGATGTTGCTTGCTTGTCGATCATTGAAGTGTTCTAAACAGGCTCAAATTCTTGTTCCTTGAGCCTCTGGCGAAAATGTACGTTTCGTACACATAGCAATTTATATTTTATCTTTTTTTACACGTAAGCGATTGACAAACATAGTTAGGATGCAAAAATTCAAAGCCAGCTGTGGTCCTCGGATTCATGTCGACAGCATCTCTTTAAAAAGCACTTTGCGACTAAAGGAACACAGAAAGGAAAAACACGAATAAGGACAAGTTAGAAATCAGTTTACGTTAGCCTAACTTACTTGCATTTTGGCTGTTTTTTCTTTTAAAGGAACGCGTCAGTTATGTGAACAACCCAGGAATTTAAATTGGTTATGACTGTATGGTAAATGAGCATCAGGTACATAAAAGAAAAAAGCATCCAATGGTAGATTTTTAGCATCTGTCAAAGCAATGGGCTTTTAATCACAAAAGCCCGAGCTTCTTAAATGTCGTGACTCTTTCGACATATCCAAAAAGTAAAATATTCCTCACCTTATAATGAAAGATCAAACTTGTGATTTACTGAGCAAATAGCTAAATATATCAGCTATAAGTTAGTATTCAGATTAAAACTAAGCTTTAAAGAATAAAATAAATATCTTTTTTCAATATTCTCACAATAATGCAAATTTGACTGGTCTGAAAATTAGAATACTGCATTTTGCAAAAGAACCAAATTACGCTTAAAGTGGTTTTAACTGCCGATATATAATCTTAATTACGTTTTCTTTGTGAAGCCCCTCATCGTACAATGCGAATTGTTGCTGAGGTTTGATTCCTTCTACTTAACCTTGACCACATTCCGCGGAATTCGTAAGCGGTGTCAAAGTTTGGCTAGTGTAGCTTTGTTTTTCTTGTCATTTGCGTGAATAAGATGGAGACAATAGTTTGTATGACGTTTTAGTCATGTGCTGGTTTTTTTTGCATCTAGAAAATCCCTAACTAATGTACTTTTTCAAGTATTATGCCTAGTTGAGAATTCGGCGTTCCCAATTTTTAAGTTTGATTTACGAAACCTAATCATCCTCCGAAATGTAAACAGGTTATCCTAAATGCATAAATTGCATCTTAGGAGTTGTTTGATTCCGTAATACATTGTTTGGGTTTGTTATATCATTTCAATCCTCAATAATGTATTTACCACCACTAAAATCTAATCGCATTCTGCTTCAAAAGCATTATTTAAGTAGGGACCCATCGGCATTCAAATGACTTGGTCTTATTGTAGCATAGGCTGGAACAGAAGCCTAATGCATCTCTTTGACTTGTGTGTGTCGCTAGTTGAAATGTGGTGATGTCAAATCACAAGTAGAATTTTGAATGGGAAGGATGAATATGATGTTGTGTTGCTGTATGTATTTTCGTGCAAATTCTCATTTAGATTAGACTATCGTTTTATATGACTGGTAAATTTTAGGTCTACGCTCCGAGATTGGTTAACGTCATTCGTAACATTTGCTGACGCAGTAAATTTTTTTGATAATGGAAATGAAAATGTCACATTACTTAGTCTTTCTGAATTTTAATAGTAAGTTGGCTTGAGTTACCAAAATAATCTTGATTAGTCTATTGAGTATTAGCTTGTGGTAGCAACTACTGCATTTTACTCAATAATTAATCTCAATTCAAGGCTTATATAATCCTCTTCATAAGTTAATGGTGTAGCAATTTTGATGTTCCTATCGAAATAAATTGAGTAACAGAAGTTGGTAGAACGTCGTCTTAGTTCTTGATGCTGCCTGATCAGCATGCCAGATAAACTAAACTGTTTTATTTCAGAGATGTCGCATTCAACAACTCAGCGTTCATTTTTAAAGGATATTCAACAACTCTACCGGACGATTGAGACATCGACAGACGGCCAAGCTTCTATACTCTCAGTCAATGAAATGTCAGTGATGGTTTCATTGCATCCCAAATCTGGTTATAATGCTCACGCTGCCTTCATTGTGAAAGTGAGTGCTTGTCAGGCAATTATTGAAAAAGTCTACAAAGTGCTAAGGTCTATTGGTGTGTGGTGCTTCAAAATGTAGCAGGTGCGTAATAAATCAACTACGAAAACACTAAAGCCGATAGTCTTTTGGAATTAGTAATATTTAGCTTCATCCATGTGCGTTGCAGGCGATTGGAAGAAAAAGTGTCAATTGCGATAGGTGTTTATCGTGTAAGTGGTGTTTTTGTGTAGTAAATTTTATCCACTATGCGTTCATAGATGACGGTGGTAAAGCATGAAGTGGGCAAGAGAATGTAGATGGTAAACATCTCGGTAGAACGATGATGACGTAATACTGGAAAATGGGCAGGATTACCGTGCATTTTGAGTGCAAACGAGGAACTTCAGGTGGCTGTGTAAACTCAGGCGTCCCTTGAGTCTGTCGTCCACGTCCTGTTGATTGTTTTCTGCGGTTTGAATTGAATATTGCGAGCAATAACTTCGAAATATCTTGGAAAGATGCAACCATTTTTGGGTCTTCGAAAGGTATGCAAATTATCTGCATCGTGAATGATGAAACCCGTTAGTTGTTTAAGTTCTTAGGACTCTAATTTAACACGTGAACGATTTTGTGGTTTTGGGTGAGGACTTTACCTTAGTCTGTCTGATGATGCATATTGTAGATAAAGTGTCCCGTGTCCTATCCAAGGAGTTGTCCAGAAGTGACATTCACCTCACCAATCTTCCACCCCAACATTGACAATGGCTCGGGAGTCATTTGTCTAAATCTTCTCAGTGAATGGCTCAGGTACGTCTAGCCTGTTTATTTGAGCTTGACTGCTTAACCACGAGAACTCTGTTTTCCTCACCAAGACTGTGCAGCGCATGTTCACGCGAGTGCCGACGAACAGGTCTCTGCATGCAATGACGTAGGAACAGTTGGTAGGTTTAAATATGTGAAATGCCAACTGCAAACTCTTGGCAGGACTCTGGTAACGACTTGTCAATGTGGACTTGTTTATTTGCTACAAGAGGACAGAAATTAAGAATGTCTGCTAGGAAACCATGTGACTGCCTTATAAACTGACACGTTTTATGTTGGGATGCATGGATTCTAATAAGGCTCACCGGTTTTACACTACAATATCATTGAGGCATGTTGGTGAATTAAGCGTTGCTTGAATATTCAGCTGTTACAATCTTCTGGATGTGGTGAAATCTCTCCTCTACCTCATCAACAACCCGAATTTCGATTCTGCAAATAACTCGTTCGCATACCTGGAAAACAGAGACTTGCTGGCAAAGAAGACGATGCGGGTGTTGGCAGGTCTGCCGGTGAATGGGAAACGGTTTGCTCCGAACAGGGCATGGTGCGAGTGGGCCGAGGCCCATGGATGCCTTCCAGTTGGTGAGGAAGAGGATGACGATGAGAATGTCGAGGTACGAGCGGTTTGTGTTGGGCAAGAATCGAATGATGAGGATGATAGTGTCTTTGCGTATAAAGTAAGGGACGATGACAATGGAGAATTCGATGGTGGTGCAGCTGTGTTCGACGAAAATGTTCTCTCATTTGCAAATATGCGACATTCCGTAGCTCCAGAGAATGAATCACAAGATTCTCCGGCCTTTGAACGCGAACACATAGACGGATTTTTTGAGACCCAGCGTATTCTTATTTGGCCTCCAAGTGACGCTTCCAATGTTACAAAACCCTCTGTGTTCTACCTCTGCGAGCCCCTTGGTGATGATTCTTATCGGATGGAGTTTCTCGACCTCTACAACACGCTGTTTACCGGCAGTGTGTTGCACTCAATGCAAAGCCATCCAGAATCAAGACAAACATCAAGTCTCTGTCCGTGGTACAATTTTTTTCATCATGAGCATTATTCCTATCAGTCACGCACCACTTCCGTCTCCGACTTAGGCCTCTTCTTTTCTGAAAAAATGTTAACGAGACCCATATGGACCGACGACTTTTGCCCGTGGTCTT